TGTTCTAGAAATGACTTAGCTAGGTCCCTCCAGGTCTTGATATTTGATCGGCTTAGCTGGTTGTACCACCGGATGAATGAGCCCGACAGACTCTCCTAGAAGCAGTGGATCAGGAGTTGGTCGTTTCCTCTATATTCTGTCATCTTTCGGTAGAACATGGTGATGTGAGCGGATGGGTAACTGTTTCCATCAAACTTCTCGAATTCGGGGACTTGAATTTCGGAGGAAGAACCAAGTCTGGGACTAGATTGAACTCTGCGGCATCAACTCCAGGGTAGTCATGGTCTCCATTAACTACCTTCATTTGGTCCTCGAATTGCTTGATTTTCTCATCCATCTTATTTGATTTATCCTCTTCGTCTGAATCCGATATATGGTAATAACCCGGATTGTTCTCACGGTTAAATACAAAGGATGAGGGCTTCTCTTTTGCAGCAGATGAGTTCCCTTGAAGTTTCGGTAAGATTTCAGGTGAGATAACCACTTGTGGGGTAGGTGGTATAGTTACCCCTTCTGTTGAACCTACCTCAGGCGCACTGGTCTATTGTAGGCCAACTAACCTGGCAACGATCTGATCAACCAAAGACTCTTGGTTCTTCATGATTGTATTCAGAGTACTAAGACTACTCTGGTTTATCTTATTTTCTAGCTCTTTCGAGCTTCAACATGTTCTCCTCGATTTGTGTAATTATGACTTCCATTTTCTTCTTTTTCAGACGGGTATTATGCGGATGGGGTGTGACCAATGCTTGAGGTGGTGTATCCAGTATGCGTTCCTTTTGATGAGACATGCTTATGTTAGTTAATGCGAATGTAAAGAAAATACCAAAATGCAAAATATGTCTAAATTTATGATGCATGAAATGTCCGAGGCATTAATCCAAAAATATGTCTGTTATTATGAATAATCCTTATTGGGGACAAAATGTTACGTCTGAAGAGAAAAAACTTTTTGATGATATACTGTCGAACTGTTCCAGCTCCTTTGGCTAAACTTGTGCAGGTGACAAGCTGTTTGCCCCAAAAAAGGTCTCGAATGACTGCATCTCCGACTTTCACTTTCTGCCGAGCTTGTTTCTAACGAAAGTGCCATTTGAGCCTTCCATCCGAAGTTTATCGGCTTGTTTCTTGAATTCGTCAATAATGGTCTCCGGCTTAGCTAAGGTTTCGCCATCTTGTTCTCGTAGTTTTCGAAAGGACCGTCTGGATCAATAACCTTTTCTTCGTCTTGCCCCTGCAACATTTGCCTCTGAGTATTCTTTGACCACGGCTGGACTTCTGAGCTTTTCATCTCTTTTATATTATAACCCATTTGTCCATTAATGCAGATTATTCATGTTTTAACAAACACGTTTTTGGTGGATCAACACCTCTTTTAATTGATGCAAATGATGAAAACAAAATAAAAGAGAACAAAAATGGAAAAAAAAGTTAGTGAGGTGAAAATAATAAAAAATAATCATTAAGATAAAAGTCCTACCCCACATTATATCTACCCCACATGCTTATTGTTCCTACCCGGACATGATCTCTATCCCGCATGCTAATTTCAAACAAATTCTAACCGCATATTTGTCTAGTTCGCATGCTTTGAACAGAAAGCAAAGTAGGAAATAAAATCAAAGCAGTGTAAGGTTTGGAATGAGGTTTTAGGGTAGGCTCTAATTCCCTGTATTCTCCCAGTTTAGGTTCTAAAAAGGTACTCGAGTTCTCCTTGTCGGTGCCCCCATGGGCTTGCCAGACCCTTAGTCCTAAGCCCGTTACAAGCTTGTGTGGACTAAGTTAAACTCAGGAGGATACATTCCCTTATGCCCACACGGTGAATAAATTCACACGAAGACATAAGGTATATGAATCCCAAAGGCTACTTGTTAAGCCCGCACGGAGAATAAATTCTCACGAAGGCGTCGCTTTCACCCCCACTTAAATAGGGTTCAGAGCCCGGGTATAGAGTTTGAGATGAAAACTTTTGAAAATCTGAAATCATTGAAAAAACGTTAGTACAACTATTTACTTAAAAAATCGAAGGTAAATAATTAGAATCGAAAAAATAAATTTAAATTTAAATTTACTATTTTCTCTTAAAAAGACAACCGAAAATTAATTCTGGCCTGACTCACTTACTTGTCTCCAGTGGAATCGCCAAGTTGTCTCGGTCGTTTTTCGGTTGGGCCCGAAATTGGGCTTCTACTTGGATTAAACGAATGGGAGTCGCCACCAGCAATTTTAAAACGAATTTAGGTGGGTCGGACACCATCTTACATAATCTGGGTTGTACCAGAAACGTGTCGGGTTTGGGAATTGATTATGGTCATGGAAGGATTAGCACCCTTGAATCGCCCTTCCGGTACCAATTAATTTATCGGTTGTCTTTAATTGCGAAAATTAAGAGTTTAAATTAAAATTTAAAAATAGGATTCGAATTTCTTATCTTTGATCGATTGAAATTATCGCTGAAAATATTAGCTGGTAAAATAAAACTAATACAAAGGGAGAAAAAGGAAAAGGGGAAAAATATATACATACATATATTAATAGAATAATAAATTAAAAATAAATGGCAAAGAGAAACCTAAGTTAGTAAAAAAATAGAAAAAAGAAGGCTATTTTAAAAAGGAAAAAATAAATAAATATAAAAGACAATAAACAAAAGAAAATAAAAAGGATTAAATAATATAAAATATATATAATAGAAAAAATGAAATGAATAAAAATATATTATAAAAGTAATATATATATAAATATAATATAATATAATATATATAATAATATATATAATATAATATAATATATATATATAATATAATATAATATAATATAATATAATATAATATAATATAATATAATATAATATAATATAATATAATATAATATAATATAATAGAATAGAATAGAATAGAATAGAATAGAATAGAATAGATAGAATAGAATAGAATAGAATAGAATAGAATAGAATAGAATAGAATAGAATAGAATAGAATAGAATAGAATAGAATAGAATAGAATAGAATAGAATAGAATAGAATAGAATAGAATAGAATATAGATATAATATATAAATAATATAATATAATATAAATATATAATATAATAATATAATATAATATATATAATAATATAATATATATATAATATAATATAATATAATATATATAATATAATATAATATAATATAATATAATAATATAATATAATATAATATAATATAATATAATATAATATAATATAATATATATAAATAATATATATAATATAATAATATATAATATAATATAATATAATATAATATATATAATATAATATAATATAATATATAATATAAAAGGACTAAATTGAAATAATAATAAAGCAGAGGGTGAAATGAAGAGGAATTCAGAGTAAAAAAATAAAATTAAGGGTCAAAATGAATTAATTACAAATCAGGGGGCCCGAAAACATAGTTTACCCTTTTTTAATAAGAAAACGAGTTGATCCCTTTGCTCGTATGGGTTGATGCGCGAGTTTGAACCAGATCCTTGGGCCACCTATTTAAGCAAAAATTTGACTTAAACTTTTCATTTCACACTCTCCCTCTCTCTCTCTTCACATATTTCTCTTCCGCTTCTCTCTAATCTCCTCCCCTGGTCGAATGCTGGCCACCACCCGGTGGTCTCTCCGCCGCATCGACCACCGCGTCGGCCACCATCGGCGGTGGTCAAAACATCTAAACTCCTACAAAATGCTTTCCTCTACCCCCAAACACGGATCTAAAGCCCAAATCTCATAAAGATCCCCAAAACGGCTTAGATCTAAAACGCAAGTTCCGGGTTTTTTTACCCTTTAAAATCGACGTCTCGACTCTTCGACTCCTGATGGCCCTTCGTGGCTTTGTGGTTGATGTTTTAGTTTTTATTGTGGTTTTGTATTTGGCTTTTTGATATTGTAATGGTTTGTGGTTATGTTATTATTGCATTTCTTGGCTCTGTGTAGACTATGTTGGGTTGTTTTGGTGATAACGGTCGTGTCCCCCTTGTGGTTTGGTATCGTTCTGTATTTATAAACCCCGATGTAGGTCTATTTCTGGTTGTTTTGGGGTCGATCTCGGATATTTTGGGGTCGTTCTCGGTGATCTCGGATGGTTCAATCCGAGTAGTTCCGGTTTTGGTGCTGCACATCGCCGAAATACTCGGCGGACCGGTGACTTTCGATCCTCTGTAACCCTTGATCTCTACCGTAGGATTGGGTCAGATCCAACAGTCCAGGATCTGTTGCGGCGCTGGACTTAATGGAATAATCGCATGTTTTTTTATCTTAAAGGAATTTTCAAATTTTCGAAACGAGAGGTTTTTTAAATCACATCCACTTTTTAATTTAAAATCAATCATAAAGAAGATAATTAAAAATGATGTCATTTTCAAACTCTAACTTTTAAAAAAAATATCGTTCCGACAGTGATAATTCATTGATGTTGGGAAAACAAGTTTTATTCATTGAAGAATCAGCATACATTCGATTGTGAAGGAGTTTTAAGTAAATTTCAGTGATTAATTAGTGTTTTTCTTCCGGTAAATACAAATAAAGATAGAAAAGGCTAAGTGCGAAGCAGGCTAGCACCATCACGGATGTAAAATTTTATACTAGGAAACGTATTTATAATATTTTAAATATATATATTTAAAATAATTTATTAATAGAAATATAAAACTATCTAAAATAAATGAAAAATAATTAATGTTACTCAACGAAAACAAGGGATTCCGATATAATTTTGAATATAAATCAAACATATAATTATCTATTTATCACTTAGGACCATTCTATTTACATTACACACATTCAATTTACTAATGATAAAGAGAAACAAATATTTAGGGATTGTTAATACGAAATGCGATTGTAGTGTACGGATTAATTTTTTTGTATATATATATATTTGTTATTTTAGTTATTTTAATTTTATTTAATTTGATTCTGTTTTACATATTAGTATTTTTTAATTCCAAATTAACTCCAATGGATCCATTAGAAAGCTTGAACCCCATCTAGTGAAACGGTGTGAAGAGTTTCCGCTAGTTTCTTATTATAGCAAATGTCACCAACTTTCAAAAGCTTCCCTTCTGGTGCGAAAACATGGCCAAGCCCAGTATCATTTAAGATAGATTCATTCGAACTTTCCATAGATTCATTCGAACTTTCCATCCGCCTGCGGAGATATGGAGAAATTTTGAACCCATTTCGAGCAAGATCCTCAGCAGGTTTCACCAGAAATTTCCATGGAAGCTTTCCATATTGTTTCCAAGCTTTATGAAGGCCTGCAAGTTGTCCTGGCACTGCTATAGACAGCCCACCCCTGGCCTTTTTAGTAGCATAGCCTGCATACATGTTCTGAATAGGGAGAAAAGTGGAGTTATTAATGACGAAATACGAAGAAACTAGTAAATCCTGTCAATCAATTTGGTATTAACCTCGGAGGCTTTCATTGGAGCTGTTTCCCTCATGTCGAATGCTTGTGTTTTTCCATTAGCTTCTCTGATTAGCATGAAAGATCCTCCACCTATACCACTTGAACCTGGGCTAACAACACCCAAGCAAAGGGAAGCATCTACCGCTGCGTCGACGGCATGGCCTCCTCTCCAGAGAACATCTGCCCCAATCTTCGAACATCGGCCGTCATCTGCAGCAACTGCAGCGTGACTTGCAACGATTTGCTCACGTCTATTTCTTGCGGAGGCATCCTCAGTTGAAGCGTAATGGAAGAGCAGAAAGATGAGAAATGTGATGGTGATCCACAATATTAACAGCACAACTGCAATATAATTCCAATGAGAGAAATTAATCAAACACCAAAAATAACATTTTATAATGAAAGATTCATGACCCTTAAACACACAAGAAAGAGGACGTTTATATATTAATTTCCTCTTGTCGGAACCGTCTTTCGGTTGGGGCCCCGGAATCGGGTTTCGACTTGAATGAATTGGGTTAGAGTCACCACCGACCATTTTAAAATGAATTTAGGTGGGTCGGACACCATCTTACCTGATCTGCGTTGTACCAGAAATGTGTCGGGTTCGGGAGTCGGTTACGGTCAAGGAAGGATTAGCACCCTTGAACCGCCCTTTCGGTACCAATTAATTTATCGGTTGTCTTTAATGGCGAAAATTAAAAATTTAAATTGAAATTTAAAAACCCGATTCAAATTACTTACCTTTGATTAATTGAGATTATTACTGAAAAAGGAAAAAAATGTTAGGCATAGAAAAACAATATATAAAAATAATGGTACTAAAAAAATAAACTGAAGGAAAAATAATAATGAAAATATGTATACCAAAGAAATAAAATATAATAAAATTAAAATTAAAAAAATAAAAAAATAAAGAAGTATTAAATGGATAAAAAATTGGTTTAAAAGTAAAAATGAAAACCATATGAGGTAAAAAAAATACTAATAATAATTAAAAAAACATGATAATAATAAATAAATAAAATAAGAATTTAGGGATCAAATTGCAAAATATGTAAAATATAAATGAGGACCAAATTGAAACAATTGAAAATCCAGCGGCCAAATTGCATGTGGCGACTAAAACGAATTGTGACTCAAACTTACAGGGATCACGGAAAGGAATTAACTTTCCTGTAATTGCAACTTAGTCCCCCGTATTTAAAAGGCCTAAAACCCCTAATTTTCCCTCATTTTCTCTCATTTCACTCATTTCTCTGAATTTGAGAGAAAGAAAAATCTCTCTGAAGCTCTCTCGCCTGGGGGTGTCCGACCCCTGCCCGATGACCCTTCCGTAACCCCGGATTCGAAGCCCGTTTACCTTAAATCGTTCTAACCTAAAGTAGATCTAAGCCGAAAGGCTTCGACTTTTACCTTTCCGACGATAACTCTTCAGTTTTTTTTTGTCGTGCTTGGTTCTTCTCGCGACCGGAGATGCTTTATTTTTGTTTGTTTGTTTTCGATTTCTTACTGTGAGGCTTCGGCTTTTGGGTTCCTGTTTGGTTTTTTGTTGTGTTGTGGTTCGAAGATGGTCACTACTGTTTGTTGTGGTCTTTGTGGTTTGGCTTTCGATTTGTTTGACCGTGGTGGTCTCTATAGATTTTGGGTACTGTTGATGGTTCTTCGGTTTACTTTCTTCAATGGTTCTCGATGATGGTGTCCCCCCCTTGTTGGCCTCACCGGGGGCTTTTATAGCCCCGGTGTTGGTCGCTTGACTCCCGAAATGAGTGTTGTGATGGTTCCACTATTCCCGTGCATGCCGTTCGTGATATCGACCATCCCGGGATGGGTCAGTCCCAGGATAATCGGCCGGCCGTTTCGGCGTTTGACTGACGCGTGACTTGTTCTCCATGCGACGCCTGAATTGTTAACTTGATATCACTTTAGGGTTTCCCAAACCCTAAACCTAGACGGGCTGGGTCAGGCCCAAACCTGACTGGACTTTTGCTGGACCAAAACGATGGACCCTGGAGAGAAAAGAAAAAATAAATAAATAAATAAATAGGAAATAATAAAAAAAAATAATAATAATAGTAATAATAATAAATAATAATAATCTATATAAAAATTTTTCAAAAACATATAATATATAACTTTTCAAAATGCTTTTTTTTTTAAAACTATATATTATACGTATTTTCAGAAACGTTTTTAAAAACATATACAATATATATAACTTCAAAAATATTTTTTAAAAACTATATATTATATATATTTTCAAAATGTCTTATATAATATATAAATATTTTCAAAAATGTTTTCAAAACTATATATTACAATTTTCAAAATGTTTTCAAAACTATATATTATAATTTTCAAAATGTTTTCAAAACTATATACTATATATAATTTTCAAAATGTTTTAAAAACTATATATTATATATATTTTCAAAATGACTTTTAAAAACTATATAATATATAAATGTTTTCGAAACTATATTATATAATTTTTAAAAATGTTTTCAAAATATACAATATATATTTTGAAAAACCGTTTTCTGAAAACTATATATTATACTTTGTCAAAAACGTTTTGAGAAAAAAGACTATATATATATATATATATATATAATAAAAAGAAATCAAAATAACTCCGAGCGAAAATGAGTCTCTACACCTCTCTTTCTAATATGCATCTATTTTCAAACTTTTGCTTCATCAACACTCATTTGGAAATGATAAATGCTTGCATTATATTCCTCTAATAGAAAAAAGGTGGTATTTGAACTGGATTCTTCTTCAGGGATATTCCTTACATGGTGTAGAAATAGTTATAACGTTAGTCGTCCTCATCTCTTAGTCCTCCACCGAAAAATAATGAATTTGAGTTTAATTTTACGATGAAGCTTGGGTTTCCAAATGCTAACAAATACATCTATAAATCTCATCATCCATTAATTCATCTGCATTAAAATATTACCCAACGGAAAAATGTTTTCATGTTTGTTCCCTGTCCAGTATGAACATGCTTTCGTATGTAAATCTCCATGTTAGGATTTAAAAATCTCTTTCACAACAGTTTCCATGCTGGTGGAGCTACCAGTTTAGTTTTGGAATCTTTGACATATTAAAAATACTTATTATTTTACCTAAATAAAATGTACGGATTGGTATAGATAAAAATATTTATTCAGTTTGGTGATAAAAGAGAAGTTGCGATGAATGAAGATTCCTCTACAAACGTGGGAGGAGTTGTAAAATATATAATTTAAATTGACCATATCATGAATCATTAATTCAACTGTCAGGTAGCAACTAAACTGATAATGAACGTGTTCAAACGACAGTAAACCAACCTTTTGTACTTTATTTACTTGTATTGGATGTTTCGTTGATAGGTGATGAAACTTTCGTATTATTTTTGATTGTAAATGAAATGTTGTAGCATATATATGCCTAGAATCACTTTCATAGGTGATGAAACTTGCTGTTAGGGATGGATTGAGGGGTTTGGGACAGTCGTCCTTATGTTTTTATATAATTTACATATTTTTTTAATTTTTTTATTAAAAATCTGTCTCCTATCATGTTCGGCTCTTAATATAAAATCTTACTTCTACTCGGACTTGTTGCGTCTGACATGTTAGTCATTTTTTTAAAGCAGGTGATGAATGTTGCTTTCTGTCCTTTGGTTACTGCTTTTACTAGTAACTAGTTTACAACAGTCATTTTTTTAAAGTTATTGTAAACCGGAAGTAAAATGGTAGCTGAAACTAGTGAAATCCTTTATCAAGAAGTGTAAACAAAATTAAAAAGAAGACTATAATTGCAGGCTAATTTCTAAAATATTTCTCTCTAGAAATGTAAAAAAGAAAAGAATCTATTGTCTCTGTAGAATTTAATTTATCAAAAACAAATTTTGTGACCAAAACCTTGACGAGAATGAACCTTAAAACCAAAGCTCCGAATACCCAAAACTTTAAAATGAACAAAAGAGAGAGGGGAAGAGGCAGATCTCATGTAACAAAAGCCATTAATCAGTTTTGCAAAACTCTTCAAACATTGCTCCAGTGTCACGTATGTGTTATAATATGGTTTAAGGCTGAAAGATGACATGGTTGGATTGGGATCTGTAAAGTTTTTGAGGAATTTTGGGTCAATGGAAAAAGGAAATGCCCAGAGATTGTTAAAAAGTATGATCCGCTTGAACCCAAGGAATTGAACCCAACGTGAATCGAACACGCAACCTTCTGATCTTGAGTCAGACGCGCTACCATTGTTCCACTTATCCTATTGTGATCCTGGATAGCTAAAAGATTACTTAAATAAATAATTGTTGTAACTTCTTGCGACAATTTGTGTGTGATATATATTGTTAAGTGGTTGCTATTTTATGATTCATTTACAATTTTGCAACAAAATATATATTTGTTTATGTTAAATATTATATAGTGAACTAAAGTGCATAGACAATATCTCTAGTAAGCCCACATAATATATCAAATAAATTTTAAAGTTCAACAATTAAATGGAAGATCCATCAATCTACAAATAGTCATAATAACATTCCGAATGATAAACACATTAAATATCACTATAAATATATTCCAATCAAGAAAAAACTGAAACTCTCATTTTATATCATTTTTTTATCTTCATGACAATTTATCATCTTCTTCATCTAAAAATCGACAAATGATTGTTTATTCATTTACTATGATTTTCCATTCTCAACAATTACTTTTAACGAATTGAGAACGGAGAAATTTATATTAGTTGAGGAATTTATATCTTGAACAATATAACTCTAGTGGGTTTAGCCGTTTAGGCTTACTCATAAAAGTGGCAGTCGCAGATATAAATTACTTAGCCAGTTGAAAACGGAGAAATTTTGAGTGATGAGGAAGAAGAGCAAAATTGGTTTGATTCGCAGAAAAAACATGGACGGAATTAAGAAGTGAGAAACATATGTACAACATGGTTGTAAAGGATGGATCAAAGGATACGTACACGGCTAGGATTTTTTTTTGGTTAAGGATATATAATAAAATTGGAGATTTTAGCTTAATAAAAACAAAATATAATTAACACGTCAGCCTCCAAGTCCAGGCTCTGGGGCCAAGACATCTCCGCTTCCAACCACAGCTCTCGAAATCCCTTCATTCTCTATCCTCCTCCTGCCACGTGTCACCCCATCCTCCACCCACTTTTCTCCTCTCTTAATCCCACTTGGTTTTCTTCCAACTCTGTCTGTTTCTCCTCCACTCTTCCACCACAAAACCTTCACCGTCCTGAAAAGAGAGAAAGTAATGAAAAAAACAATTGGGGAGGTTTAGTTAGGGTTTGATTCAAGTTTTCTAGCTCTGGAAGAATAATATTCTTAGGTTGCATTAATGGCATCATCTCTGCCATTACTACAGCTTCACTTTCTCTTCCCAACATCAGCAACTTCGAAGCACCGGTTTTATCTCTCTACACGTTCTTCTCTCTCCGGAGTATCTCTTACCGGGAATAGCCATTTAAGGAACGGTGTCGTTTTGCGTTCTCGAGTTAGAGCGCTTAAAGGAGAAGGAGTTTCCTATGAGGAACGGGAGCAAGAATTTATCAAGGAAGTCAACGGTAGGTTGAAATTGAATGGAAATGGTAGTGCCGGTAAGTATGAATACGAGAATGGATCGGTTGACGGATGTACCAACGGTGGAGTTGGGGTGGTGGAGACTGAGAGCAATGACAGCTTGGTCAAGTATGTGAACGGGAACGGGAATGGTGCGGCGGCGGAAGTCACGGTGGCGGAGGTGGTGTCGGTGGAAGAAGAAGGAAAAGGAGTTGCTTCGGAGGAGGCGAGGAAAAAGAGGGTAGAAGAGATTGGGAAAGAGGACGCTTGGTTCAAGCGGAGCAGTAAAGACCAGGTCGAGGTACTTGGGATTGATTTTTAGAAAACCGTAGTTTTATTTGGTCCTTGCTTTTTTATTCTTGAATATTTCTGCCAAGCATAGTAAATGGTAGACAGTAAACCATATTAATTCAGAGGGAGGAAGCTTTGATTAAAATGACTTGAATACATAATTATTTAACAGTTTGTTCTTTAAACCATGATTTTTTTATTTATTTTTTTTGAAATAAATGTTACTGCTACTATTATATAACAAGATACAGGGCTTTTGGGATCTGAACTATGAGCTGAAAATTTTGCTTGCTTGTAAGCCAATGTACTACTAGTTCAGAGTTTTTAGGATTGCTTTAAAATCTTGGTTGTAGATCTCCATGATTGATATATTATCTTATTTCATTGTTGGAGAGGACTATATACAAGTACAACCATTAACAAACAAAATCTAGGTTTAAGATAGTGTCAGGGTGCCTTTCCTTGATATACATTCTCACTCATTTCTGTGATGTGCATTTGATATTCATATAACTTTTGTAGTATATGTTGAGTCAACTGCACTGATTTATTTTTAGTTTCACAACCGTCTCTTTTTTGTCTGTTCTTACTAAGTAGTTGTATTAACCATAATCTTGCGGCAATAAATCTCAGGTTTCTGTTGCACCTGGGGGGCGTTGGAGTAGATTCAAAACCTACTCAACAATACAAAGGACCTTGGAAATATGGGGATTTGTTCTAACTTTTATATTTAAGGCATGGTTGAACAATCAGAAATTCTCCTATCGAGGTCAGTGACTATTTGCCTCCTTTTTTGTATTAAAAATATTTTTTTCCTATCGTTTTATTTGGAGGAAAATAAATTATACAAATCGGATTAGCTCAAATTTGATCCATGACATCTGATGAAAAAGGTGATATTTTTTAGAAATGTTATTTTACAAAGAATGCATCACATGCAATATAATTTCATTGTCTTACATTTTAGCAACCCTAATTTAAGTTTGACTAGATAAATGGGTGTTCTT